TACTAATCCCTATTTACATTATTTGCATTTCCTCTATTATGTATACATCGTTTTTTATAGACACACAGATCCATCTATTCATATACCTTTCTTACACATACATGCATACATATTGTACACCCTAGCACACACACAGAACGTTACACGCTCACTTTCGCAGACTTGTATGCGTCGTTGTTCGCACAGTGAGGCCATCTATCCGTTGATAACGCACGTGGGAATTGCCGTGAGTGTGTACACATCAGGTGGTAAGGACGACATCCTCAGGTACTGTGAAGCACTGCATGAGGACACGGCGGTGGTAGTGATGGTGGGAGGGGACGGTACGCTGCACGAGTGCGTCAATGGACTTCTGAAGGCAGGACTAGGAAGGAGGCATGTGTCACTTGGCCGGGTAGTGATAGGCTTCCATCTCTCGGGCAAAGTGTTGTGCATTTGTTTTGTGATGTGTTACTCCATTTTTTTAAGGATGCATATGGCTCCGAAGCGCACATGTAAATCCCGGTTGTGCAAGTGCGTGAGTTTCTAGCTGGCATCTGCACGGAGACAAGAAACATATGTATGTCTGTGTTTTAATTGACATGTATGTGTTTGTTTTAGTTGACATATATGTCTGTGTTTTAATTCACATGTATGTGTCTGTTTTAATTCGCATGTATGTGTGAGTTTTAATTCGCATGTATGTGTGAGGTTTAATTTCGGGCATATCATCCCTGTCTGTTGCTCACATACGGTGTATCGACCCCACCCATTCAATCCCTATCAGAACGCCCCATCTGTGCATTGTGCCTTGTGGAAGTGGCAATGCCGTGGCCAATTCACTCAGCGGACTGCAGATGAGCGTGTGCAACAGTGTGCTGTCGCTGATCCATGGCACCACCACAGACACCACCCCCATGAGCGTCACCCTTCCCACCACAGCCACGGTATGATAGGAATCAATCAATCTTTAATGCAGGCTTCGTCCTGGGGTGTGAGTGGTTGACTGTGCTTGTCTTGTAAGGCGAATGGGTGTCTATCAGCGATTTACTTTTCTGATCGGTGGCGGTTTGAGGTGTCGTGTTCTCTGTGCGGGGACCAGGAGTGATGTCTGGACAATACCGGTACACTAGACGGACAATACCGGTACATTAGATAGACAATACCGGTACATTAGATGGACAATACCGGTACATTAGATGGACAATACCGTTACATTAGATGGACAATACCGGTACATTAGATGGACAATATCAGCACATTAGATGGACAATACTGGTACACTAGATAGAGCTCATCAGCTGCAAGAGCCTTAGCACGAGTAGCACTAGCGTAGTACACCACTGACCTACTGATCAACTATTTGTGAGACCAATCAGCGCACCCCAGTTTTAGTTCGACTGCGTTAGCTCAACTAACTCCACAAGGGCATTCCTTGCCGTACCGTTGGTCATGCGCCTGTGGTTGCAGTAGTTGTGGTAACACTAACACGTCTGCCATTGACTTGGTCATGCGCCTGTGGTTGCAGTTGTTGTGGTAACACTAACACGTCTGCCGTTGACTTGCCCGCAGGAGGAGACTACGGTGTATTCCACCTGTGTGCTCAGTTGCGGGTTTCATGCCAAGCTCATCGAACAATCAGACCGCCTCAGGTGGTTCGGCAGGAGTAGGTTCACCATGGTAGGTATGTGTAGTGTGTACGTTCATAATGGTAGGTATGTGTAGTGCGTAGGTTGACTATGGTAGGTATGTGTAGTGAGTAGGTTGACCATGGTAGGTATGTGTAGTGAGTAGGTTGACCATGGTAGGTATGTGTAGTGAGTAGGTTCACCATGGTAGGTATGTGTAGTGCCTTTGCACTGATATATCAGATGTGATCAAAGTGAGTTGTGATTGAATATGCCGCCAGTTTCTATCACACTGCGGTGTGTAGGTCTATTTGGTGCAACAGTTAGTAGGCAGCTGAGCTGGCCCACATTCATACCGTATGTCACACTAACACGTAGTTGCTACGGCTCAACTCGTGTCAGGTTTTTCACAGAACCCACCACACCTGTGCGGTGCATAAAGGGCGAGTGTATCAAGACAAACGCCACAACGAAGCACGTTAATATGTTAGACGCTAACGCTCACGCGCACCCAGCACACACACCCCAAGCGTACATGGCATTAAGGGCAGGTGCATACACTATATGCTGCACTACGGCATACACTAGATGCTGCACCACGGCATACACTATATGCTGCACTACGGCATACACTATATACTTCACTACGGCATACACTATATGCTGCACTACGGCATACACTATATGCTGCACTACGGCATACACTAGATGCTACACTACGGCATACACTTTGTGCTGCATTTTGGCATACACTATATGCTGCACTACAGCATACACTATATGCTGCACTACGGCATACACTATATGCTGCACTGCGGCATACACTAGATGCTGCACTACGGCATACACTATATGCTGCACTACGGCATACACTATATGCTGCACTACGGCATACACTATATGCTGCACTACGGCTAAGTGTGTACAAGTTACCTGCGCACAGATGCACACAAGGTGCGTGCGCGGGGGTCTTGGACATATTAAGGCTTGGCTCGTCACAGGTACCGAACTACATTCTAACCGCGCGGAATACAGTTCCTGGTTGACAATGATCCCATGCACCCCCACGTCTTGCAGCGGCGAAGCTACTGATGTGGCCACCAAACACTGACACGGTTGTCAAGCTGTACAGGGCACGTGACACGTCCAAGGGCGAGCACGTGCCAATGCGAGACACGCACACGGCAGAGGCACCGGAGAAGGACGCGTGCAGCAGCCAGGACTTTACCACGCTGAACGGCCAGTTGAGATACTTTATCGCTTCTAAGGTACTTGTTGATGTGTGCTTGTGTTGAATGTGTGCTTGTGTTGAATGTATGCTCGTGTTGATGTGTGGTCGTGTAGTCGGCTTACCACGGGTGTGTTGGTCAGTCTATGTCTGGCTGTGGTCTGTATCTGTGTGATAACATACATATGGTCGTAGTGTAGATGTGATCTACCGTAGAATTGCTTATTTGTTAATCTGAAGTACACTACAGTCTATGTCTGGCTATGGTCTGTATCTGCGTGGTTCCTGGCTGTCCGGAAGATAGAACATGCCAATATCGCGCATGTAATCCGTCTTTCTGTACTGTGTAGAAGACATCTGCCGCCTTCCGCATATACGTTGGATGACCTTCAAGGCCAGCACATCCACACACTTATGATTGTTATATGGGGCTATGGTTCTGTATATCTTGTAGGTTCTTATACTTGGTATTCATAAGAGTATGCTGTTTTTTTCGTATTAAACTGCAGCGATCATAGGAACAGACTGCATTTCCACATTAATTGCTATACATTTCCACATTAATTGCTATGATAACAATAGTCTATGTCAATACGAATCATGGCTACCATAGAAATGGGCTGTGTTTCCTTATTAGTTGTAGCTATAATAGGAATAGGATATGTCCTTATAGACAAAAGTTATCAAAGGAATGGGCTGTGTTTCCTTAATGATTATAGCTATAATAGGAATAGGATATGTCCATATAGACAATAGTTATCAAAGGAATGGACATATTTACTTATTAATTGTAGCTATAATATGAATAAGATTTGTCCTTAAAGTCTATTGGTATCAAAGGAATGAACTATATTTCCTTATCAATTGTAGCTATAATAGGAATAGGACATGTCCATATTACTTGAGTTATCAAAGGAATGGACTGTATGTTCACGTTGAATGTAGCTATCATAGGGATAAAGGGTCATATTGACTATAGTTATCATATAAAGGGGCTGTATGTTCACATCAATTGTAGCTATAATCGGGTTAATATTATATATATATATATCTATATCTATATATAACTATAATTATATAAATATATATATATATACAAATATACTATATATATAAATAGAGATATATATATATATAGATATGGATATAAATACTTATTATATATATATACATATATATATATATATATATATATATATATATATA